AATCTCGTGGCCCGTGAGTTCGAGCCCCGTGTCGGGCTCTGGGCTGATGGCTCGGAGCCTGGAGCCTGCTTCGGATTCTGTGTCTCCCTCTCTCTCTGCCCCTCCCCCGTTCATGCTCTGTCTCTCTCTGTCTCAAAAATAAATAAACGTCAAAAAAGGAAACTGTAGAAACAAAAATAAGAAATAGGAATAATAAATCTATTAGTTTATAACTTTAAAAATTATATAACAAAGTAAAAAATCTGTCTCCTCCAACTGTAGTTTCTGCTCTCAAAGGCAATCACTGCTAACAGTTTGTTGCATACAAATTGGTCCCTGGCTTACGATTTTTTCACACTATGGTGGTACCAAAGTGGTAGGCATTCCATGGAAACCGTACTTTGAATTTTGAGTTTCGATTTTTCCTGGGCTAGCCATACATGGTATGATTCTCTCTCATGACGCTGGGCAGTGGGCCCTGCAGTTATGAGGGTAAAGAACTAATACACTTCATACCATTCTGTACCCATACAGCTGTTCTGTTTTTCATTTCCAGTACAGCATTCAATAAACTACATGAGATATTTAACACTTTAGTGTAAAATAGGCTTTGTGGTTGGTGATTGTGCCCAACTGTAGGCTAATATAAGTGTTCTGAGTACATTTAAGGTAGGCTAAGCAAAGCTATGTTGTTTGATCAGTCAAGCGTATTAAATGTATTTTTGACTTAGACTATTTTCAACTGAGGGTGAGTTTTTCTGATGTAACCACATCCTAAGTGGAGGAAGATCTATATACATTTGACCTTATTTAGCACATATCATGGATATCTTTCCATTTCATCTTTAGCTCAACCTTTTAAAAATATTTAATGGCTTGAAGTATAATTTACATACCATGATGTCCATCCATTTAAAATATATAATTCAGTGATAATTGAATTTGCACATTCATACAGTTATCACTTTAATCCCATTTTTGGACACTTCTGCTACTTCAAAGAAGTTCCTCTGGGGCTGTTTGTAGTCGGTCCCTAGTTCCGTTCATAGATAGCTGTTTATCTGCGTTCTGTCTTAATAGCTATTCTTCTTTAGAAATTTCATATAAATGGAATCCTACAATGTGGATTTTTTTTTGGTGTGACTTCTTTCATTTAGCATAATGTTTTTAAGGTTCATCTTGCATTTTATGGATATGCCACACTGTTTAATCATCTGATTAAATTCGTTTCCAGTTTGGGGATATTATGAATGATGCTACTATGAATATTTACATATAAGTGTTTATATTGACATACACTTTTTAATTTTTTTACTTTTTTATATTAAATATAATTTATTTTCAAGTTGGTTTTCATTCAACGCCCAGTGCTCATCCCAACAGGTGCCCTCCTCAATACCTAAGAAATAAAATTGCTAGGTTGTGTGGTAAGTTAATGTTTAAAAAACTGCCAAACTTCTTTCCTAAAGTGGCTTTATTTTACATTTCCACCAGTGATGTATGAGACTTCCTCTTTCTCCAGGATTTTCTAACATTTGGTATCATCCGTCTTCTCCGATTGTGATTTTAGTTCTCATTTTCCTAATGACTGATGATGTTGGGCATTTTCCATGTACTTTTTGGGCATTTGTTTGTCTTCTTTGGTGATGTGTATATTTAAATCTTTAGCCCATTTTGTCATTGGGTTGTTTGTTCTCATTATTTGAGTTATAAGAGTTTTTTATTCTATATATAGGTCTATTATCAGATATATGAATTGCAAGTATTTAATCTGTAGCTTATCTTTTCATTTTCTTATGGTTTTATTTGAAGAACAAAATTTAAAAATTTTGATGAAGTCACATTTATCCATTTTTTTTCTTTAAGAGTCTTGCATTTTCAATTTTTTTTTTTTTTATTTATACATTTTTGAGAGAGACAGAGACAGAATGCGAGTGGGTTAGGGGCAGAGAGAGAGGGAGATACAGAATCCGAAGCAGGCTTCAGGCTCCAAGCTTTCAGTACAGAGCCTCACGTGGGGTTCGAACTCATGAGCCGCGAGATTGTGACCTGAGCCGAAGTTGGACACTCAACCGACTGAGCCAACCAGGCACCCCTAGGAGTCTTGCTTTTAAAAATTCTTTGTCTAAGTCATGTCACAAAGATTTTCCTCTACAAGTTTTATAGTTTTCATTCTTATATTTGGGAACATGACACATTTTGAATTAATTTTTTTGTGCATATGAGGTGCAAGTCTAGAAGTTTGTTTTTTTTTCTTGTATGTGGACATTTAGTTGTTCTTGCCCCATTGTCAAACAGACTGTCCTTTCCCCATTGAATTAATTGTCTTGGTACCTTTATAAAACTAATTGACCATAAATGTTTGGGCTTATTTCTTCTATTTCTCTTCTCTTCCATTGTATCTATAAATTTAACCCATGCTAGTGCCACACTGATTTAGTAATGATAGTTTATAATAAGTTGAAGTCAGGAAGCTTAAGTTCTGTCCAATTTTGTTCTCTTAAAGTTTTTTGAAGTTTTTTTTAACGTTTATTGATTTTTGAGAGAGACAGACATCATGGGCAGGCGAAGGGCAGAGAGAGAGAGAGAGAGAGAGGAGACACAGAATCCGAAGCAGGCTCTAGGCTCTGAGCTGTCAGTACAGAATGTGGCACGGGGCTCGAACCCACAAACTGTGAGATCATGACCTGAGCCAAAATTGGAGGCTTAATCAACTGAGCTACCCAGGCGCCGCTTGTTCTTTTAAAAAATGCTTAGGCTCTTCTATATTTCTTATATTTCTACATAAATGTTAAGAGCAGCTTGTCAATTTGTAAACAACAACAACAAAAAAACACCCCCAAAACAAAAAACTCCTGAAATTTTTATTGAGGTTCTATAGAATCTGTAGATTAATTTTGAGGATATTGCCATTTTCACAATGTTGAATTTTTCATTTCATGAATATGGCATATTTCTCTAATTTGTAGTTTTTTTGATAGAAATGTTTAGTAGTTATCAGGGAATAGATTTTGAATTTCTTTTGATAAATTCATTCCTGAGTGTTTTTTTTTAATGTTATTCAGAATGGAATTATTTCCTTAATTTCAATTTTGATATGTTATTTGCTAGCATACAGAAATACAATTAATTTTAATATGTTAACCTTATATCCTTTGATCTTACTAAACTTGCTTATTATTCTAGTAGCTTTTTTTTTTCTTTTGGTAGATCCCTTAGAATTTTCTGCATATGAGATGATGTTTTCTGCAAAAAAAAGATACTTTAACTTACTTCTTTCCAATCTGTGTGCTTTAAATTTCTTTCTTGCCTTATTGCATTGGCTGGAACCACTAGTTACAGGTTGAATAGAAGTGGTGCAAGGGACATTTTTCTTTGTTCATAATAGGAGGGAATCATTTCATTTTATCATGAAGTAAAATATTAACTATAGGTTTTTGTAGATGCTCTTTATCTGGCTGTAGAAGTTCACTTGCCTCTGGGTTTATGGATTGTTTTGTTTTTCTCTCTCCTCTTCTGTTAAGATGATCATTTGGTATTTGTGCTTTATTCTAGTAATGTATGTACTACATTAATTGGTTTATGGATATTAAATTACCATTTTGTTCCTGGGATAGCTCCAGATGATCATAGTTTATAATGCTTGCTTTGTAGTTAGTATTTTGTTAAGGATTTTTACACTTACTTTCATGGCAGATACTGGTCTGTGGTGTTCTGTTCTTTTGATGTCTTTTTATGGCTTTAGTATGAGAATAATTCTGGCCATGTAGAATTTGTTTAAAAATATTCCCTCCTTCATTATATCCTAAACAAGTTTGTATAAGAATGGTATTGTTTCTTCCTTGAATGTTTAACAGAATTTCCCAGTGGAGCCATTTTAGTTCTAGAGTTTCTTGTTTTGTTTTGTTTTGTATTTGTGGGAATGTTTTAAGTATAATTTTGATTTTTCAAGAACAAATCCTTCTCAAAAATTAAATGCTTTGATTTTTCAGGAATAAATAAATGTTGCTTTATTCAAGTTTCATAGCCCCCAAACGGTTGTTTTTGATGATTTTGTCCAGCTTGATACTTTTATTTTGCAAAGAGGATTTGCCAACCTCTACAAAGTACCACACTCAGAAGTTACTTCTCTACCTCTTTTTAGTGGGTGTAGAATATTCCATTTTGCAAATGTACCATAATTTAATGGGAAATAGTTTCTCTAAATTTTAAATATATTCTTAAGCAGTGCTACAGTTAACTTTCATCCACATATAACTTTACTTATGCTAATAATTCACTAAAGTAAGATCCTAGAAGTGGGTTGGCTGGGTCAAAAGTTATGCTTTTTTTTTTTAATGTTTATTTATTTTTGGGAGAGAGAGAGCAAGTGAGAGAGCAAGCGCGCGAGCAGGGGAGGGGCAGAGAAAGAGGGAGACACAGAATCTGAAGCACGCTCCAGGCTCCGAGCTGTCAGTACAGAGCCCAATGTGGGGCTTGAATCCATGAACTGTGGGATCGTGAGCTGAGCTGAAGTCGGAAGCTTAACCTACTCAGCCACCCAGGCACCCTTCAGGTTTTTAATTTTAATAAATATGGTGAAATTCTCAAATTTATACTAAATTATTACACTGTTAGAATAATGTAATAGAAGGTCTACTTCTCCCTAGTTGCCATTACTGTCTACTGTTAGTCTTATACATAATTGCCAGTGTGAAAAGCAAAGATTAGTGTGTTTTTATTTGCATTAATTTAATTTATTTATTTAAATGGAGTCGGGAATCTTTTTATATGCTCTTTGACTATTTCTTTTTATTTTATGAAGTGACTTGCCATGTCCTTTGCTTTATTTCCAATTAGATTGGTTGTCTTTGTCTTACTAACTTACAGGATCTTCTGTTATTTTAATTATATTGAACTTTTATCTATTTTCTGTCGTAAGTATTTTTTCTGTTTAGTCATATTTGTTTTAGTCATAACTGTTTTCAGTCTTTTAAAGCCTGCCTTGTAATTTATGTTTCTGTTTATTTGTTTTAAAACAGAAAGTTGTACAAGGGATCGATGTAAACCGAATCCGCGGGCTTGGGTTTGATGCTACATGTTCTCTGGTTGTTCTGGATAAGCAGTTTCGTCCTTTACCAGTAAACCATGAAGGTAGGACCATCTCCCTCTCTTTCCTGGTGGTGGGAGACTGGTTGGGCCCCAGGTGGAACATGAAGTCAGGTGTCTCTTATTGCCAAGGATGAGGTTTAGAGGTGGCACACTGAGGCCAGAATCATGTACCGGAGGTTACGAGCTTCGAGAACAGTTGGTAGGAGTGGTGACATAGGGGCCGGTTTAGGGAGAGACTTGGTTCACTAATGCGTAAGAGCCACAGTGGGGAGCTCACTGAAGGAAGGACATGGGATCGTTAGCTCCGAGTGAGCAGCCCTTGAAACAGGCGAGTGGTCTGGGTGTTTTCTGGGAAGGGAGTGTCCATGCCTGCAGTTCCTTTGTGTATGAGGCCCCTGTGGTGCCTTCATTTGAGTAGGTGAGCCAAACCCATTTAAAGGAAGTAGAATTGGGCAGACAGGACCACACGTCACACACAAGCAGGAAACAGACTGGCTTCTCTATTTTCAGTACTCAGACCAAAGGCATTCCTACTTAATGGTGCTGTCTTAGCAGAGACTTGTGAGTGCAGTGGTGAGCTGTTTCAATTGTATGTTCCACTTGGGTCCACCATCGGAAATTTTTCATGGGTCGAGATCCATCCCTCTTGGGAGAATTTAGCCAGTAGTGCTAGCATTCAGGTTGCAACCCAAAAGTCTATGGTAGGCAGGTAATGACAATGAGTAAAGTGGGCCAGGTTTGAGAACAACCAATAGCACATCTGTGGAGATGAATTGCAACTGATATTTAATCTTGAATGAGCAGAAGACATTTGGGAGTGGTGGAGGCCACAGAGAACTAGAAATTGCGTGTTCCATCTAAGGAGTGTGGTTCTAGGCATCATCGGTTGGTTGTTGCCAAGGCAGCGATTGCAGATGCGTTTTGGGAAAGATTGTGTCTGAGAACCTTCAGCAGCGGACACTGCCGTAGCAGTGCCTTTCTTAGCAGATGGCCGTGGACACTAGGGCACACTGGGACACCCTGGAATTGGGGTCAGGAAGGCCCCAGATCATAGCTCACCCGATGCTAGGCCATGACACCTCGAGCGAGTCACTTTGCCTCTGTATTTTCTGAAAAAATTGGAAGAATGAGCCATAGCTTTGCTGTGAGGATGGAGAGCCTGACATTGAACGCTCAGAAATACTTGTTCCATCCGATTATGAATTCCTAAAAAGAGACTGTGCCACACTCACTTTTATGGACCTAATGCATAGAACAGTGACTTTCATAAATTCCATGTGCTGGAAAAAGTTTGCAAGCGGATGAATTGTTAGAGCACAGTGGTAATGATGCCCATCTTTACACACACACACACACACACACACACACACACACACACACACACTTTCCTTCCTTTTTGTCACCTTTATTAGCACCTCCCACATACCAACCCCTGTCTTACTAAGTGTTGTGGTATCAGAGATGATTATGAATGTTCCTTGATCTCAGTGGCTGATCACTGGCTCACCTGGCATCGTTCTGGCCCAAGAGTGCGGGACAGCCTCAATCCGGGCCAGTTTAGAAAGCACAAACCAAAGGAATGGGGCTGGACTAACAGACCTCAGTTCAGCAGCAGCAAGAACTCCATTTATGAGATATGGGCAGCCATGGAGCTGGCCACTTTGGGAGGCTGTCAGCGCTTCCTTGATTGGCTTAAGTAGCGATGAAGTGATAGTCTCTCAGGGATACTGTTGGATGAGTTCACATTTGGGGTGGGACTTGAGCTGTTAACAGCCCTAGGTTTCAAGGACGCTATACCTCTGGTCTGCTAACATACATGGTTTTAAATTCAGGCCATATATTACAATCAACCTGGGATCTTTCAAAATTTTCCATTTGTGAGCCTTACCCTCAAGATTTGTATTCAGTGGGCTTGTGGTGAGGCAAGGGCATCAACGTTTTTAAAGTTTCCTCCATGCTCTGATATGTGGAGAATCACTGGTGCAGCTAAATGGAAGCTGAAATACTAGGAATAAGAGCACTTGTTGTGGAAGAAGAGAGTTCCTTGTTAAACCTGCTTACATATGTACCGTCTCCGGGTGCCATCTTTTTTCTTATTGTAGGTGGAATTGTCTCCTGTTAACAGACCTTCTGTTTAAAGGGTAGCTAGCTTGCAGCCCTTATGATAAGTGTTGAAATAATTTTATTTCACCAAAAGGGTTAAAATGTACCTGTTCATCAAATGTGTCCAGCTGCCGGTACCCCTTACCAGTTTCTTGCCTTTCAACAGGTTCTCTTAAAGTTAGATGTTATCTGAAATGGATTATCCTGTCCTAGAAAATGACATTTGAATTATAAAGGTGATTCACAGGTTGTTTTAAAGACTTCTTAGGCCTGCATGGCAGTGACCAACTCTTGATTGGCTGAGTGGAGTGATTGTGGGGAGCAGACAGTGGGGTCAGGAAATGAACCATCACCATTAAAGCCAAACCCACAAAACTGGCAAAAATCTAAAGATGGTAACAACAACAACGACAATAACAACAAAAGCCTAAGTAAATTAAGTACAATAGTTTAAGAACACTACTCATTACTACATGATAAGATATTCTCATTTTAGCCTTGTCTTGCTTGATCTTCTTTCCTTTTTTTGTTTTTTTTTTTAAATGTTTATTTATTTTTTGAGACAGAGAGACAGTATGAGCAGGGGAGGGGCAGAGAGAGAAGGAGACCTAGAATATGAAGCAGGCTCTAGGCTCTGAGCTGTCAGCACAGAGCCTGATGCGGGGCTCGAACTCACAAACTGAGACCATGACCTGAGCCAAAGTTGGATGCTTAACCAACTGAGCCACCCAGGCGCCCCGATCTTCTTTCCTTCGAAGGTCAGACAGCCCCCCAGTTGGACTGTGCTACCACTGCTGTGTGCTCCCTACTCTGCAGGCTCCCCCTAACTCAGAGCACAACTCTGGTTGGGTCATCGCAGCCACGGGAGCTCTTGGGAGCAAGAAGAAATGCGGGTGAAAATTCAGGATCGGGGAGGGAGTTACCACTTAGGCTACTCTGCAAGAGAAACCTAATATTTAGATGTTTTTGCTATCTCATAGTAATTTCCCTCGAGTGTGCTTGGCACACCTCCTGTGAGGTGTTCAGAATATTGAGTGGATGAACACATGGATGAATGATCTCCCTGTCAGTAAACTGACTGTGTAACCCAAATTCTGCCCTAGCAATTGCTCCCAGTTCTCTCCAAACATGACACACGGTTAGGTCTGTGCTTTGTTTCACGTGCTGACTCTATTGTGTAGGCCTCCTCGCTCCCCCTCTCTTCACCTGGCTAACTGGCGGCCAGCCCTTTTCAGAACTATGTGAAAGCTTTCCTGCCTCTTGGCAGCTCCCTGTGTGGCCTTGGGCTCGGCTCTCCACGGCCTTCTCTGTGCTCCTGCTGCTCTGGGCTGCCCGCCCCACTGTGTTTGGGCTGTCAACGCTGGGTACTCTTTTCTTTCTTTGTTTTTTTTTTTCCTCAATCCGGCCACCTGCTCCCGACAGGCAGGACTGTGGCATGTTCTCGGTATCCCAGCACCTACCACTGTGCCCGGTATGTGTAGATGCTCAGTGAAAGGTTAAAAGAGCTGTCATTGGAATCATTGATTTGTGATTTTTAAAAATACTTAATTTGAGAGAGAGAGAGAGAGAGCAAGCGTGTGCGCAAGCAGGGCAGGGGCAGAGAGAGAGAGGGAAAGAGAGAATCCTAAGCAGGCTCCGCACTGTCAGCATGGAGCCCGACGCGGGCTTGATCCACGAACCTGAGCTGAAACAGGTTAACTTACTGAGCCACCCAGGTTGCCCCCATTGTGATTTTCTAGAAGAACTGACAAGATGAACTTCTTTGGTGTCCACAATGCAACTTATTAATTAATAATAATTAATTAATAATTATTAATTAATAATCATCGTATATATATAATCTAATTGATTCTCACAATTTGAGGGTGTTGTTCTGTGTTGTAAGAGCCTCTTCCTTTAGAGGCAGTAGTAACTGATGGGTCTGTCATTCCAATTGAAAGTTTAGCAGCAGATACATTTATACAGTATTTAAAAAGCAGTGCTCACATTGTCCCCGTTTTACAACCCCCCCTCACATGCATGCGTGCGTGTGTGCCTGCACACGCACATTCTGACTCTTTGATGCTTCTGGGATGGGACTTGGACATCAGTATTTTTTTCTGAAGTTTATTCATTTATTTTGAGAGAGAGACAGTGCGAATGGGGGAGGGGCAGAGAGAGGGAGACAGAGAATCCCAAGCAGGCTCCTCAACGTCAGTGTGGATAGAGCCCGACATGAGGCTTGAACCCACGAGACCATGAGATCGTGCATGACCTGAGCCGAAACCGAGAGTCGGATGCTTAACTGACTGAGCCACCCAGGCACCCCCTGGACATCAGTGGTTTTAAAGCTGTCCCAGGTGGTTCTAATGTGCAATGAGGGTTGAGAACCGAAGCTTTAGGTAGTGATGTTATACAGTATAATCACTCACCTATTTAAAAACAAATCGTAGATGTAGCTCTGGAAGGTCTCATATACTTTCTCTTAATTTCAAAGTATTACTGTTGTTTGAGGAGCTTTTGTGGGACCTGAACCTTCTCCAGGCAGGCAAAGCAGAGACTGGATCCTTGCCTCATCATGGTGATGATGACCTGATTTAGATATTTTCCTAGGTGGGCATTTTTTCTTTCAGTTTTAAAGATTTTTCTTCAGAGATACAGCAAAGTAAGGAAAATAAAATTCACAGCCTTCTGTGTCCCCACTACTGAGGATAAGCCGATGGAAATTTGCCATGTCTGCCACAGACTTTTTTTCTATTTTGAAAGAGAGAGAGAGTGGGGGGGGGGGTGGAGAGGCAGAGGGTGAGGGAGACACAGAATCTGAAGCAGGATCCAGGCTCTGAGCTGTGAGCCCAGAGCCTGACGCAGGGCTTGAACCCATGAACCTTGGGATCATGACCTGAGCGAAGTCGGACACTTAACTGACTGAGCCACCCAGGAGCCTCTGCTAGACTTTTTCTTAAAGGAGGAACTCCTTGAATCTTCAGCCCACGCCTTTCCCCTCTGCATGGCAGGTGACCATGCTGCTGTTGACGTTCCCAAACACATTGTTTCTGTGTTTTCACCACATACGTGTATGCCCTCAGCAACAAGCAGTATATATGGTGTTTAAAAATATCCCAGCTGGTATCGTTATTCATGTTGATAGGCGTAGCTTGAGTTTAAATTTGTTTCACGAATTTATTTATCCGTTCCCTGCACAGATCCATTTCAAAGCATGCTATATGCTTTTCCAAGCTGTGAGATAGTAGGCAGGTCGTAAATCTTGGAGTCAGCGTGTCATGGAAAATGACCTGGATCAGAGAGTTGTTATGAGGATTAAATGAGACGATGTGTGTAACATGTTTAGCACAGGGCTTGGGGGACACACACACACACACACACACACACACACACACACACACAGAGCTTTATAAATATTTGCTATTAGCAAAGATACATCATTGCTGCAGTTCTCCCGTTAAAGAATGTGTGAAGTGCCTGGTTCGGTTACTGTTGGGTCCCCCTTTATCTTTCCCTTTTACTGTCTCCCAGTTTGTTCATTGCTGATCTCTGCGTCTTGCCATCTGAGGCAGTGGAAGACTGTAAAAAGAATATTGGCTTGCCCGTTAGTACCTGATGAATTAACGGAGGCCGTGGAAGGGAGAAAGGGGCAGTTAGCTCCCGTGTACGCTGCAGGATGGTAGAGGTCAGATGTGAGGGGCATGCCTATGCTGTTTTTCTAACTGGCTTTATTTTTTTTTTTTTTAATTTTTTTTCAACGTTTTTATTTATTTTTGGGACAGAGAGAGACAGAGCATGAACGGGGGAGGGGCAGAGAGAGAGGGAGACACAGAATCGGAAACAGGCTCCAGGCTCCGAGCCATCAGCCCAGAGCCTGACACGGGGCTCGAACTCACGGACCGCGAGATCGTGACCTGGCTGAAGCCGGACGCTTAACCGACTGCGCCACCCAGGCGCCCCTCTAACTGGCTTTAAATTCTGTTTCTTATTTCTTTTTCTCTTTAGAGCCTACTACGTGATAGGTACTTGCCTTTATGCGTGGTATCTTGTTCAGTGAATGAAAAATCCCGGTTAACCCTTATATGCTATTAAGTGTGGTTATCCCTGTTTTATAGATGATGATACTTAGGCTAAGAAAACTTTAATGACTTTTTCAGTGTATCTATGCCTGTAACTGAACTAGTGAGCATTCCCCATTAGGTCTGCCTGATCCCCAAACTGAAAAAAATTCCAGTGTTTCCCACTCCACCAAAGCATCTGAGAGGAAGTAAACACCTAAGTTAATTAATTTTCATTAAAGTGACTAGGAGAAGTGGGAATATAAGCAGATAAAAGCCATTATATGGATGTGGTCTGTTTGTTATGCTGGATGTATTATTCCGTTGAAGTGCTTGTCCATTTTTAACGGAGACAGATCTTAAAAAGCCAAGGATTGTTTTAGGCTTACTTCATAGCTCTTTTCCTAAGGTTAAACCCAGGGAACTTTTTCTGGAACAGAAGGGGTAGGAATAGGAAAGGTGGGGAAGAAGTTGGGAGCGAATCAGTGAGAATCTAATTAATTGGTAGATCTTGACTGTTAGTGTAGACATTTAACCCCGGGGGCTGCATTGTAAAGGACACCTCACCGGAAGGGACATCCAAGTTTAGGGTGGAGTGTACTAATTCGTGATGGTGGTGGCCCGTTCACTCGCTGCCATCTACATAGGAAGTTGTCATACTTGTGCAGCTTTGTGCCCTTGGGACTGTGGAAGTGCCTCGTTGAATTTGAAGGCTAAGTATGTGCGTGTGCCCTCATCTCCCTTGTTTCTGCTAGGGGATTCCCACCGAAACATCATCATGTGGCTGGACCACCGGGCGGTCAGTCAGGTCCACAGGATCAACGAAACCAAGCACGGCGTCCTGCAGTGTGTTGGGGGCGTGATGTCAGTGGAAATGCAAGCCCCGAAGCTTCTGTGGCTGAAAGAGGTGAGCCCATAGGGTGGAGAGAGGACACTAATTACGGCCAAGGATTTCACTTATCATGGATCTGCCTGTACCAGGCACCATGCTGAAGTGTGTTGCTTTTGATTTTTCGCAGCAGCTCTCTGAGGGAGGTTGATCCCAATTTGTTGATTGAATTGCAGCTAAATCATTCCTGTTTTTAGGTGCTAACCTTATGTAGGCATGGTAATAAGTATTTGGCAGATTGTCTCTTTGAATCCTAGCAGCAACCTTATGAAAGTAGAGGTTGTCTCTTTTTTGGGTGGGGTGGGGGGCGAAGGTTGTCTGTAGACAAGAAAACTAAAGCTAATAGAGATGAACCAACTCCCTCGAAAGTGACCTAAGTATGTGGCAGAGCCAGGGGTGGAAGCTGACCCCAAAATCAGTTCTCTTAATAACCAGGATTCTCCCAGAGTTCGGGAAGGCTGCTGATTCCCGTTCCAGATAGAAAGTGGCAGAGCTGGGATTGAAGTCCAGATCTTCTGACCAGAATCTTCTTTCTCTATGCACTTTTATCTGAGGATTAATCTGGCCTTGGTGGCATGTTAGGATACCCCTTTCTCATGTCACCTGAACCTGAGTTTCCATGTCCTTGTGTGATACGGTGATCTCCGGACAGAGCACTTGCAGGTGGTTCCTGTTTCCAGATGTTCAGATCCTTTATGAAGTGTGGAGAATGGTGATGTCAGCTTAATGGTTCCCGGTAGAGAGGGATGTGGAGACAGTTCAAGTCCTTTGGGAACCTCGGACTTGAAGGTCCCTAGGTGGTCTGGTGAGGAGAGTATCTGTCTAATGAGTAAGACCTGGTGTGATTCATATACTGGCTCTGGGGTTTCAGGTGGTCTCAGTCTTTGATGACTCAAAATGTAAATGGGGCTTGAGGGGAGTGTAAGAGTGCTGAGAATGTGTCCTTGGATTGCCACAGTGGGCAGAAGAGAGAGAAGCAAAGAGGGAATCTGTAATCAAGGTGGGTTTGGCTTGTTATCTGTTTAGTATATGGAGTTGTTTTGTAACCTTTAATTTGCAAAAACGGCTTCTGTATTTACTAAGAGTTTGAAAACACACTACGTTGTAGAAGCCAGGAGTTTTTGACTCCACTGACCATCACCTGTGTACCTTTGAGCAAATCAGTTCGCATCCCAGGCCTCGCTTTTTTTTTTTTTTTTTAAGATTATTTTTGAGAGAGAGAGAGAGAGAGCTGGGGAGACGCATTGAGAGTGGGGGACACAGGATCTGAAGCAGGCTCCACACTGACAGCAAGAGAGCCCTATGTGGGGCTCGAACTCACAGACCGTGAGATCATGACCTGAGCCGAAGTCGGATGCTCAACCGGCTGAGCCACCCAGGTGCCCTAGGCCTCACTTTTTCTGTCTATAAAGTGAGAGAGTTGGTCTGGACCAGTTTGCAAACCTGATGTAAATGTATCCTGAAATACAAATTGGAAGATACAACTACTTTGCACTGCCCCACTCTCTGCTTTGTGTTCTGTAGACCTTAATTGATTTAATCTTAACAAGCTCTGCCTGATGGACAGCATGGGAAACTGAGGCTGACAGAGTTATATGATTGTCCTAAACAGATGGTAGAGCCAGAATTTAAACCCACGTCTACTGGGCTCCAAATCCCAGCTCCGCCCATCATGTGTTGCAGCACTGAAATCCCTCTGTAAAGCATTGCTGGCCCGCAGACTTATAAAATCACTTCTGATTCTAGAAACTGCCCTTGTATTCCGAAGAACACCCATTTATGGAGAATCAGGAGACAGTGTGTTCTTTTGAATGGGGCTATGGGAGATGGAGGCACAGAGAGGTTAGAGTGCTTTCACAGAGTCAGAACGTAAGACTCTGTGCTAAGCTCACTGTGCTGTCATGTGTTTACTCTTTATTCACTCTTTAATTTACCGCATATTAACCGAGGTTCTCCTGTGAACCAGCAATGTCACAGGCACTGAGGACGCAAGCACAGAGAGAATGGGGCTGACCCTTGAGGGGCACAGAGTCCCCTGGGGCAGTGGTGGGGAAGCAAAGGAGGGGGGGGGCATGGAACCAGAGCTGTCAGAGGACGTGCTAATCACTTTGATAAAGGAATATACAAAGTGCTTTCGGGGAAAACAATTTGCTTCCAGAAGGAGTTCTCTAAGATGAGTCTCAAGATATAAGTGGAGGTTTAGCCTGTAGGAGAAGATGGGGAGGAAATTCTAGAGCAAGACTATGGTTCATTTTTGGTAAGGTATGTAGGTCCCGGGACAAGAGCCCGGGATACTTTCCTGAGTGTAGTAGGAAATGAGGCCCGGTGGGTAGCCTGGGCTTTGTTTGTTCAGGGCTTATTTGGTGGTCAGTGGTTCTTAAGCAAGGGGGAGGGAATATCTGAGATCCCTTTGGCAGGGATGAAGAGACTGGATTGGGGGTGAGAAAATGTGTGTGTGTGTGGGATTAGGAACTAGTCTTCATACTTTCCTGATCACAGTGCTTTGTTGGCTTTACTTTGCTCTTAAGATAAATCCCCAGATTTGTAACATGGCCCAGAAGATGGTATGTGACGTCATTTTCACCTTACCCTCTCTGCTTAGGTGTATCCCTCCCTCTTCTTGCTCACTCTGTCCCCAGGAATGCAGTCAGGGCATCTCAGACACACTCTGTTCTTTGCCACCTCAAAGAGGTTGGCAAACTCCAGGCCAAGGGCCACATCTGTCGTGCTGCTTATTTTGGATGTTTTGGGAGCAAAGAATGGGTTTGACTTCAAACGGTTGAAAAAGGATCAAGAGAAGAATAATATTTTGTGACTTGTGAAAATTATGTAAAATTCACACTTTCATGGCCCTAAAGTTTTATTGAAACACAGCCACCCTCATTTATGTATCGTCTATGGCTGCTGTTGCATCCCAGTGACAGAGCTGAGGACTTGAGACATAGACTGTGTGCCTGCAAGGCTGAAAATATTTACTCTGTAGACCATTAGAGAAAAGTTTGCTGACCCCTGGTCTTGATGATGTCGTGATACTGTGCTTTCTGCCCCTGAGTATTCTTTCCTGTGCTCAACACTGATCCTAACTCATCATTTAGGTCTTAGCTTTATTGTCATGTCTTCAGAAAAGCCTTCCCTGACCCTCAAATAAATCAGAGGTCTCTTGTCACAGTCTCTTACTTCATTGTATGTTTTCATAAATTGTCACGATGTATCATTTTGTATGATGATTTGCATGGTGCTTGGGTCTTCCAACCATTGTCATCCATCTGGGGAGGGAGAGCCTGTCCGTTCTGTTCCTGGCTGTTTCTCTACCCCTGGTCAAATGTCTGCTGTATAGTAGGTAGTTAGTAAACAGTTGTTGAATAATTTGGGTGGCTCACTAAGGGGGGTGTTGCAGTTCTCCAGGTGAGAAGTCATGAGGTGTGAAGTAGGCACTGTGGGGTGGAGAGGAGATAGGTTCCAGGATTTTTAGGGGCTCATTTCAGCAGGACATCGGGGCTGATCGGCCGTGAGGGGCGAGCTAGATGGCAGAGTAGGAGCTGACTGCTCACCTCAGTACTGCTGTCATTCACGGGCTCCTTGCCCTTAGCCTGGAATCGGATGTCAGAGAGAGTCGGACAGAATCTGGAGTTCAGACTTCCCAGAAGACACAAGTGATATACTAGGACCACCGCAGCTCTTGGGCAAAGTCACTTGGGTCCTGGTTCTGCCATATGGAATTTTAATCATGTCCTTTACATTTAAGGTTTGTGTGTTTCAGGTTGACGCATGTCTCCTTAATAAGAATTGTCAGATAAAAGGAAAAATGCCATTTGAATTTTTCATAACCCCCAGCAGTCTGGCTTTTCCATTTGGTCTCAATGATTCTGACTCTCATCTTAATGAAGGCCAAATGTAAATTAAGTTCTGTCAGGCTGGAACAGCTGGAGTCTCCTATCTTTATAAACATGAAACATTGTAGGGTAACAAGGTGCAGACTGAGGGAGGTCAAGAGAGTTAACGGCTGATGCAGATTCTGACAGCTCAGTGTTAATGGAAGATAATTAACTGGCTTGTAGGGGCTGCATGGAGATATTCCAACCCGACTTTTAACTCGTTTTCTCTTTTTGCCATTGTCAGCAGAGCAGAAAGCTAATCATTTTAGTTTGAGATTTTCATTGTTCGTTCCAACTGGAACCAACTGGGCTGGAATGTAAGAGGGTTTTATTGACGGGTTTAGAAAATACATCTGCCCCTCCCATCTCCACAGTCCGTGCCTCTCTGCTTCTGTTCCCCTGATAATGTACTGGGAAACTGAAGAAATGATTCTGTGCTTCTAATGTGCCTTTTCCTGTGTATACAGATTCCTTGGAGCAAGCTGGGAGTTGGCATGCCCAGAGAGGTGGTTTGAGAACTTGGTGCTAGCTGTGGAAGAAATCAGTGGAGTTCTTTACAGGAGGAACTATTGGGAAAAAAATACAAAAAACAAAAAAACAAACCAAAAAAAAAAACCAAAACTGTTGGAGGTCAGGAAAGCCTGGTTCTAGTCCCTTCTGTGACATAAGAGGCTTGCCTCAGCTGTTTTTAGTGCCTTGTCTGGCTTTGTTCTTCCATTCTTCTTGACAATGTAATAACATTTGTTGTCTTATCGTAGATTTCTTCTTGTCTTGAAACTTTGTGAAAGATAATGTTCAAGTTCCTTTCTTTGAAATACACCATTTCTTTTTTTAATGGCAATTATGGTAGGTACTATGGTCTTTTTCTGTTAGTTATTCCGGCTTGAAGTTGCAGGTATAGATCTATTACTGTTCACCTACATTCATCAGACCTTAGCAATGGACCTAATACAAGATACTGAGGAAATTTGGCAGGTAAAACACAGTTCTGTAACAAAGGTACAGGCTTTGAAGTTGGGCATACTTGCATTTAAGTCTTTCTCTGCCCTTTACCAGTTTGGGGACCTTAGAAAGGTAAATCAACTTCTCTGAGTCTCAGTGTTTAGCTGTAAAAGGATAGTAATATCAGCCTGGTGGAACTAT